AATAAGTGGTGTGACTGCACCGTTTCCCTTAAATGTCCGTCTAGTTTGAATTTGCCGCTGGCTCGCAACTGCTGTCTTCACGGAAGCTTTGCGTTCAAATATTTCAACTCAAATCAATATTTCGCATCTAATTATTTACTTATGTGGCAAGTAGTCGTGTAATAAGCGGGATAATGTACATCCATCCAGTTGTTATCTCAGAATAAACCCCTTCAGGCTGATACAAGACCCCTCCGCACCCTGTCGGGGGTTATTCTGAGGTAACAACTGGCTGGAAGTACATAATCTCTTACATATGATGTTGCTAAAAATAACATAATTTTGTGTATTTGGTGTAATGCAATGTGTTTATGCAGTTTAAGGTTAAAAAAACACATTTTCCACATACTCTACATTATTGCTTCTCCTCTATGCCCTGTCTTTCTGAAACGCGTTGATTTTTACAAAGCTCATCGGTCTGAGGAAGCGAGGTGTGCTGTGATTGGCCAGCTATCCAGTGCGTTGTGATTGGCCAAATACCTCAAGCGTGAGACGGAAATGTTACGGCCCTTACCATACTGTGATGCTGTGTCCCGGCGCGACGAGACAAAACCAATAAAACCCATCATAAACGAGGCATTTGTTGCGTCCAGTGGGGACATAATTACGGATTATAATGACTTGTACTGTCTTTTCACGTGTTTCGTTGCATATTGCGCCAGCGTAAACATAAAACCATGTTGTGATCGGAGAAATGACAAACAACAAGCGCTACTCTACACTGCTCAAAACTCACGTTTGAATCATCAGTGGCAAATTCTTTAAATATGTAAACGTACTTACAGACTGTGAGTCAGAAGCGCCAGACTGTCCTTGCAAAGTTGGAATTGCCCCACTTTATAGAAACAGCCTTTGTGCACAGCCTTCCCAGGATCAAGAAACAGTCCTCCGTAAAATGCGCTGCACACATCTGAAAATTTGGGTTGAAGTGTTCTGGAACAGTTTGGTAAATACAACTTAACCACTGATTTCTAGTCGTGTCCTCTTTTGGAAGACCAAACAAAGTAGTTTCACTTTCACAATGAAACGCACCGCGTCTTTACGACATGGCGGCGGCAACAACAATACTACAGCGAGAATCAAAGTTACGCCTTTTTTCTTTGTGTGAACATTTGGGCGGTGTTATGCAAATCTTGCCACATCGTGACGTAGACATGTGGGGACGTGTTTAAACAAGGTGTTTTAGGGGGGCGTGGACAAGTCTTAACTTTTATAAAGAATATCTCTTTGGGTTTGAGACTTTAGTCTTTGCAACTTCAGGGATCTTATCTATGCACCAAGAGCTTGTAACACTCCAAAGAGAAAGGAAAACTTGAAATCGCATCATATGACCCCTTTAAATGGCACACGTCAGAAGAGCAGCAGAAAATCAACAGAGACAATCATTTGTTGTGTGCTGTTGTGCATAGCCTGAGATTGAAGAGAACATTATTAAAGCAATCAAGCTGACACAGCTTAAAAAAATAAAGCATCTTAATGACTAGATCAAAATACTGTCTAATAAATACGGAATACAGTGGAATAAAAAAAACAGGAGAAAGCAGCACGCTTCCAGTCTCTGCCGGGCGCCCGCCGTGGCGCACAGGGACGGACTCTTTCTCGCCTAGGTGGCATCTTAAAACAAGCATTACCATGTTTGAGGTGAGGTTGCCATGGATACCGTCCAGCATATGAGGTGAGGTCACTTCCTCCGGCGGCATCATGCGATTGGCTCAAACATCTCTGGATGTTTGATGGCTCGAGTTAGTGTGAGTTCATCGGCTGGGATGCTGGTCACCAGTGATATGGTGAATACATTCTATCCGCTGCATGACTGGGACGTGACGTCAGATCCCGTTGGTCAGGTCCCGGATGACACCCCCCTTCACCAGCTTTCGGAGAAACTCTTTCTCTTTGGATATGTTGTGCGTCCATGACTGGGTGAGTGTGAGAAAAAGAGAGAAACAGAAAGAGCACAATAGGGTAAACGCTCATCAGAAGTTGGTCACGTGCTGCGTTTAAAAGAGCTATGACGTCTGCACATGCGGCTTTGCTTTTGATTTCACAAGCCACAAAAGCGGTTCGGACGGTCCACCTAAAGTAAACATGTGCAACAACAGAGGTGTTCTTCTAGGTAAAGAGAGAAAATGACAAGTCACTGTGAAATACAGTGCCATCTACTGATTTGCCATCCAAGTTGAATCATCCTTTAGATAAAACATAAAATGTATCTTCTAATTACAAAACAAAAAACAAACATGAAACAGGTCAGTTTCACACAACACTTTGGATAAGTATTTTACGTTGCATCATAAAAGTCCATAAAATATCTATTTTATTCTTTTAGGCCAGTGCTTCGATGCCACTGAAAATTCTAAATCTATTATCGCATTACACATCTGTTTGGACCTGAAGTATTGTTATACTGATGAGAAATTTTATTTGAATATATTATTATACAAGAACATATAATCTGAGGAATACCAGTATTACCCCTATCGGAATTAATGGAATTGAATTAAATTCCTTTGAATTTAACTCATGATTGCTCAAAACAGTCCATATTTATCAAACATACATATTTACTAGCAATAAATAAATAAACAAACAAACAAATACATTTAATTGCATACATTTTCATTTTCAGAATAAAAAAGTGGTACATTTTTCATGCAGGAATGGTTTGTAAATAGGTGTACATATTCATGTTTAAAAACTGAATTCAGTTCCAAAACTGTGTGAGATATTGATAAAAAGGCTACATATATTTTACAATATTTGTGTGACACTAATATAACTTATAGATGCTTTTACAAAAATATTTTTAACACCTAATGGTACACCATACACACTCGGGTCCATTCAGATCAGGTCAGTGTGGTGCTCTTACCTCTTTGATTGCAGACATAATGAGTTTCTCATAGTAGTGCAGAGGTGCGTGAGGTGTGTTCATGTCATATCCGAATCCGGCCACCGCCACCTCATCACAGCTATGAAGAGCCATCGTAATCGCAACAGTCCCCAATGTAGGAATATTCTGGAAAAACCAAACACTTTTAGTATTGCATGTCGAGAAGTGTTCCGTCACAGCGTATAAAAAAAACCCAACAGTCATACTTGAGTATGTAGTTAAAGACACATTCATAAAACCTCAAGTTTAAGAAAAAAAAAAAATATATAGCGTTTCTGGTTATTACTGCAAATGGTCTTTTAAGAAAATGTTTTATGGAAAACATTACATTTATATGTGAAAAATAATTGAATTTCGGTATTTAAAAATAGTAAATAAGAAACAAAAATGTGCTTAATATAAAATATCTACTTTTATTTTATATACAAAATACAGGGCCGTCCTTAGGGGGTGCAACTGGTGAAAATTGAAAGTAATAACCAGAAACTATAGTTCTAGTGATGCAAAAAAATTTAAAAATCTGTAAATTATCTGTGATTCACTTACAAATCTGATTCAGACAGATTCGTAAATGAGCCATTCAGAAAAATTGTATAAACCAAATGTGTCTTAAAAGAATGATACATTTAAAAATCAGTCATCTCTATAACGCGTGTAGTTTGTATTTACAACAATATTGTTTACACAAAAGCAATGCAACAAAGTGTTCAACTGCGAAATGTCTTGTTTGAACATGAAATACATTTGTACTCAAGTAGTCATTTTCTATTAGTAATAAAACAAGTTTTAATTCATTACTATATGCTTTAATTCATACTACACAGCACAGTGAAAAGAACAGATGAAATGAGTCAAGCAAATGCTGAACAGCCATGGATGGACTGGACACTCAGGATAGTCGAGTGCACTGCTCACACACTTCAGTACAGATAATGCACCGTGTGACTGACTTTATCAGAGACACAGACAGAGCGGGGTGTGTGTGTGTGTGTGTATCAGCAGAGAGGGATCATCCAGTCACCACCTGATCCACTGAGGCTGGAGAGACAAGTCTCAATGTGAAAGTCTTATCACCACAGAGAGACACTCTCTGGACTAATCCGGCCCCAGACACTCCGCCTGCATGCTGATAACAGGAAACGCATCACAGCTCGAGCCCCTTGAACCGCATCTCCATAGCAGCAGAGCACAAACAGTCTCTGGATCAGGTGGAGATGTGACGGTCCATCACTTCATTTCAACATCATCTCAGAGGGCTCAACAATAAGGATGACCCACTGACCCGGAGCCAGTGTGAGAGCGTTTAGGATCATTTCAGTACATTTTGATCATGTACATAAATAGATTTATTTATTTATTGTTTTTTTTTTGTTTGCTTGTTCGTCAGTCTGTACACTTTTAGGGAAAATCATCTTAAAGTATCTATCTGGCTATCATAGATGAGTGACTTCTTGTGCAATGGTAAAGAGGTAAAAAATACAACACAATTATATTATTAATAATTCTCCCTCTCTCTATATTTTCAGAAATACTTCATAAAATGCTTAAATATTTACATAACATTTGTTTTCATATATGTATACTATATGTATACATACATATACAGTGTATACATATATTTTTTTAAGATATGTCAGAGTAAGATATTTTCAGTTGAGACATCTCACACATGCATTTTAGTCTGGGACTAGCCTTAAGCCTGGTCTGTGAAACCAGGGGAGTATGTATTTGTGTGTATATTTTAAGCACATTTTTATTCTATAATAATTTTTAAATGCACGTTTGTACATTTTTCACATATGCAAATGTTATGTTTGTTTTCATAAAATATTTTGTTAAAAGCAAATTTGCAGTAATAATCAGAAAATATACGGTTACAGTGAATCAGACTTGTAAATGAATCAGATAATTTACAGATTCGTAAATAAAACAGAGACTGGGCTAATTTGAATATGAAAGGTTCTTAGTTCCTAAGACATAGGCTGTGTTTATGCAACTGGCCTCTGGTCTTTTTCAAAGAGGAGAAAGTTTTAAAAGTTTTTCAGACTATTACGGTATGTTTTGGATTGACTGCTTCAATATTTATTCAGTGTTTGCTCCTCACCCCTCTTCCCATGAGGCCATTGTTGTTTGGAAGGCCGATGAATTTGAAGGCCGCTTCCTGGATGAAATACGGGTTCAGGATCCGTATGTCTTCTGGCTCTCTGGGAACGACACGTGCCACAGACTTCCAGAATCCCTCCATACTCCGCTGAAAGACATTAAGAGTGGAACACAGAAGAAACTGAATTATTCCAAGAAACAAATGAAAAGAATAAACCTGCGTGACTTCGCTGATGGCCTTTACCAGCTTTTCTTTTCAAACACTCCTGCTCTGTGAATATGCTATTATAAACGCAGAAAGGTGTTCCACAAGTGAAGCGGACACAGAACAGTCACTCGCAGCCGCTGAATAACGCTCTCAGCTGAGTAAATAAGCCGCTCACTTTGATAATCAGAATAAAAAGGGTGACGCTAGCAAAGCGTTGAAGGCAAGAGCGTGTCCGAACACAGAGCTCTCGCTCTCCTCGTGAGACGCCCGCTTCACCTGCAGCTAATATGAAGGACCTCACGAACACACCTGGGAGAGAGTGACTGTTAGAAGCCATAACTCCGCTTGACATTTTAGAGCAAAGACTCCGGTGGGATTTCATCAAACGGCATCCCGAGTCACGGTACTACAAATAAACACGCCGCGTAATTACGTCCTGCCCTTGTTTTCTTTTCAAGGGAGGGACAGGCTTTACAGAGGGACGCACAACAAGGGTTTGGCCCAGGGAGCCTTACTTGTGGTTTTCTGGTGTAACACAAAGCATGTGTGATACAAGGTGTAATACAAACCACGTGTGTCGCGGCATAACATTATCACAGCTATCACTCACATCAGCCTTGTTTGAGACGTGCACAAACTCCTCCCTTATAACTAACCAAATGCTATCAATGTGGTTTGACCTTTTTTGAACGTTTTTAGCTTTGTACATTATAATTTGTGTCAGGTTTGTTATTTTGCAGAGTAAGTCCTAGTATTCTAGCGTACTGATAGAGCATTGCATATGCTACTGAATACACATTTCCAAGAATTTAATTTTAATCAGATTTCATACCATAAACAATAGCTGGTGCTTAAGTTTACGACAGCACGTTTTTTCATGTTTCATGAAATCTCTTACGTTCATCAAGGCTGCATTTATTTGCAAAATTGTTAAATAGTATTACAATTAAAAACAACCATTTTCTATTTGAAAATATCATTTATTCCTGTGATCAAAGCTGAATTTTCAGCATCATCACTCCAGTCTTCAGTGTCACATGATCCTTCAGAAATCATTCTAATATGCTGATTTGCTGCTCAAGAAACATTTCTGATTATTATCAGTGTTGAAAGCAGTATTATCATATAACATTATATGAAATTCAAATGTTTTTTAACATTATTAATGTCTTTAAAGTCACTTTTGAGAACTTTAATGTGTCCTTGCTGAATAAAAGTATTAATTTCTTTAAAAAAATCTTACTGATCACAAACTTTTATCATGCATTCCTTTTTTAAGTCTTAATAAACACAGCAACATTCAGAAGTGACTACATAAATGTCATCACTATCTCAAGGTCAGGCCAGCATTACTAAGGATGCAGAAAGCAGGTGCAGGTAAAATCTTGACATTTTGAGCGAGCACTGAAGCAGATGTGAATCGATCATTTGTTGGGTGCTGGACTCACAGGGTGAGAGTCAGAAACACACAGGTGGAAAATGTGACGTGGCTCGGGCAGAGAGAGATGAACACAATACCCTGCAGCGTGGAGAGGAGAGGGGCCTTTTAAAAGCCCCATGAAAATCAAGAAGCGCAAACAAAGCCACAAAGGCAAGGAAGACCCTGTATCAATCACCCGGTGGCAGGATCCACCTCCTACATCGCACAAGGCCTTTGTACGCAGAGTTTCTCTGATACCTGTCACCCAGCTGCTTGAAACAGACCTGCAGAAGAGTGGACTAATGATTACGAACTCTGAACTCTGGCTGATGTATGTCTGCCGATGCGTCCAAATGGCTCATCGTACTGTATTACAGACACGGTCACTCAACACTGCCGTAGCAACAAGCGGAAAACTAATCTGACCACACTGCTGAATGTACAGCACTACGGCATAACAAGCTAGATTTTGGCTGAAATGTGAGCTCACGATACACACAACGAAACTGAGACAAATAGATGAATATAAAAATAAAAATACATATCTTAAAATAATTAAGAATCAACAAATAAGTTTTAACTAAGACATTTTTTTCTAAAAATCATGATCACCCATTTTTTTCAGCAAACTTAGTTCTGGAAATATTTTTCCAAATTATATGAGATTTAAAAAGAATTCTTCAATAGATTTCTAAAGATGAGCATTTACGCATATCCAGGAACCAGATCAAAATATAAATAAAACAACACAATGTTACAATAATCCCAGTAAATGCTAAAATATGCATTTATAACTAAATACTTAATACATTTCTAGAATAAATAAAAATTTTTTTAAAAAGAAATAAAGAAAAAGAAAGAAACTATTTATTCCCAATTTATTCAGTCATTTACTATAAGTAGAGATGAAATTAGGGCTCTTTTAAATTGTATTATAAAGTCTTAATTAAGGGATAAAATGTACAGTCCATCATTATAACTAACTAATAAATAAATGCACAAAATAGATATTTAACCTGCAATGAAGACTGGTTAATTACGTAAATACACAAACAAATAAAATAGATATTTAAATTGCAATAAAGACTGGTTAACTACTGTACATAGATGTGGATGGATGGATGATATTTAATAATAACTGGTTGAATGAGTGAATAAATAATGCATTTATTAACAGTATGTTTTCATTGAAAAATTATTCAACTCCTCTTTTTGTACTTTGCCTTTTCATTGCAATTGATTAAATCATAAACCCTTTGTCAACAAGAAATTTTGTCCCTGACAACATGAACACTTGTCTTGAAGCTCATTGTATAGGCTTGTCTTGAAACGAGCATATGTTTCTTATCTTAAAAACGTCAAAAATGACAAAATGAATGACATCTTACTTCCGGAAACCTTCCATTGCAAAAGTAAAACTTGCGATTAATCTACTCAAGCACATGCATCTCTAAATAAATTGAAAAAGACATTGAAGTTGAATCAACATAACGAGTCAGTCACTGACTAAACTTTTAGTGATTCACTTACTGAATCACAAGTCATGGCTTTCGGTCATATCTGATGTGCACATCCACACACATACTTTCTCTGATGGGTAATTCCCAAACCCCTTAGTTTTTGGCTAAAAGAGTTCCCGACACATTTCTGCGTGATGATGTTAGGCTGTAACCTGTGGCCGTGGATCGGGCCCTGTGTTTCCCTGCGCTGGAAGCCACTGCGGCTCATTCACTACAATGGCTGCTCTCATTCACTCTGACACTTTGGAGGTGCGAGTCGCAGACGTTATCACAGAATCCATCAGTTTCCAGCGGGCTGACACACACTGTTGCATTCATAAACCACTGTGGTTTTCTGCAGCCGTCTGTGGCGTAGTACGGGCCGCTGACCCTGACATTGACCCCCAGCCCTCTGTCTGCACATGTCTGAGTCACCAGAATCTGAGGACACTTGACACTCATAAACACCATTGTATTGCAGTGTGTAAGCTGAAGATGTCATACAAAGCATCTAATGATTCATAAGACATGAGCTCTGTTCCGAACCATAGCGAGATGCCTACCTAGACAGCATGCTCAGTATCACAGGAATGGTCCGGATCAGACCGCTGACAGAAAATAGGAGATCACCAAAGACTTCAGAAAAGAAGGATCCACTAAATAGCTTTCAAATTGAGTTTGTTGGGTTAAACATTTAGAGTCTCATTGTATCTTCTTGAGTAGAATTAAATCTCATTCTTTCTCTAAATCATTCTTTCTAAATGTTCTCAAATCATTGCAAACCTTCTTGAATGTTCTCAATTTTGAGTAACATCACATCATCTTAGTCAAACTGAATCTTCTTTGTTTCTTTTTAAATCTTTTATAAATCTTCTTGTGAAATTAAATAAATAGAGCAGTTGTGTCTGTTTATGAGGTATGAGTGGCCAGATGCTTTTGGACGCCTTACCAGCTTTTCATTAAACACCATGAGACGCAGCCATTTGAAGTCCATGGGTTTAAAGGCAGATAAGACGAAAAGCGAGCTCTTCTCGTAGCGCTCAGGTTTCTGGATGGCTCCTTCAGGGTACGTGATACGCATGGTGGTCTTCGAGCCGACGTCCTTCTCAAACCCGGCAACTGGAGCCTCGTTCAGTCTAAACCCCGAGGACAAATCAACATGACATCCAAACGGTCTCCAATTACTTTCTGCTATTAATGTACAGGATTCAGCTGTGGACATTATTAACGGTTTGTTTGTATTGGTAATCATTCTTCAAATGTAATCTTCTGAAAACAACAACTGATTTGTGTTAACATGCCAAAATTAGAAGAGAAAAAAAAATTCCAAGCAACAATCAATAAAATATATTACTTTTATAATAACTTACCGTACAACAACATCATACTGATCGATTTGGGATCCCAGGGACTTGTTGAACAGAATGCCTCCATTGCCAATGATAATACACTTCTTACAACTTATACTGCAGGAGAAAATGACAAAACATGATTATAGAAACTGATCAGCTTACAGCATCAAAAGTTTAGAGAATGATTTTTTTATATATATATATATATATATATGAGATATGGTTCATCATGTAACTGCAAAAGAAAAGCAGTGAGTGAGATTGTGTTTAGGTGATTATGTGGATGTTAATTACCTGTCCAGTTCTGAACCAAGTGAATATCTCTTTGTAGCTTGTAAAATATGATCAATGATCTTTTCTGTGGACAGAGAAAATGCAATTATTTATTTATTTAGAGAGATAAACTACATTAAAACACACCAGAGCCAGAACAAAGGTCTGAACAAAACAGCTTTTGATTTTCTAACAGAAATAACTAAAATGTGACATTATAGTTAGCCAAAGATTACAGTTACTCAGTTCATGCTCTGATGAGCTGTTTGCAAACTACAGTGGCATTGAGGCATCTACACTGACTAATATTACAAAATTAGTCATACTGCCCACTCATTCCTTGTGACCACAATTAGCATATTATGTTTATGCAGCATGATTTGGGTCACAGTTATACTAATTGTACATAATATTTAAGATGGAAGATCTCTGTGAATTATGCATGACTGTTGGATTGAATTAAAGTAATAGTTCTCCCAAAATTAAACATCTGATGAAAATTTTACTTGCCCTCAGTCCATTCCATTTCTTCACAGGAACAGATTTGGAGAAATGTAGCATTGCATCTCTTGCTCACCAATGGATGCTCTGCAGTGAATGGGTGCCGTCAGAATGAGAGTCCAAACAGCTGATAAAAACATCACAATAATCCACACCACTCCAGTCCATCAGTTAATGTCTTGTGAAGTGAAAAGAACTTTTAGAACTAATAAAAAAAATGATCAGGAGAGAAATATGCACAGATCAAACACCATTTAGGGAAATGCAAGACGGTTTAAAACATTTCTTACAAATACACAACCTTTGGTTTCACAAGATGTTAACTGATGGACTGGAGTGGTGTGGATTACTTGTGGATTATTGTGATGTTTTTATCAGCTGTTTGAACTCTCATTCTGATGGCACCCATTCACTGCAGAGGATCCATTGGTGAGCAAGTCACGTAATGCTACATTTCTCCAAATCTGTTCCCATGAACAAACAAACCCATTAACATTTTAGACGGCACAAGGGTGAGCAACTTTTCAGCAATTTTTTTTTTTGGATAGGGGACATTTCTAAAGCAGCCCGCTGCCAAAAATGCTGCAGCCTCCTGGGAAAGAACCTACATCACAGCTTCAAACACACTCAAGAATGAGGAAAAAACCTAAGTTTAGAACACCCTTTTTCTAACGCACAATCCACTATGCTATTTTTAGTAAAACATTCCACCGAAAGGCATTCCACTGGAGAAAAAGCTCTTTATGCAAAAGATAATAGAACAAGATTTGTATGTAAACTCCACAACAACAAAATCAGTGATCTGCGTCACTTTTGGTCCATTTTATAGTCTGCCTGCTAATAAATGTGATCCAGATTACTTGAAAAAGCAATATAACTCCTTTCCTCAACATGTCACACTATTTAAGGCATCATTCATGTCTGCAGCATAAAAAGTTTAACCCATAGGGTTAGGGCTGTGTTTAAAAGCATGAGCAGCATTTAAGTGCTTTTCATTTCAACATCACATTAGACAGCAGTAATTCCCACACAGACATGTAATTCAAGTACAAGTGTTTCTGCTGAAAGGCACGGCTTGAGAAACATCAGCGGGACGGATGCAGAGATGCCGACAGCTCTGCTCTTAATGTCCCAGACCATCTGCCAAAGCAGCTAAACGGAGTCAAAGCAGAACTCATCACTTAACATGCACATTTGTGATTTAATCAGGCTGGAAGGTAATTACACCCAAAACCTCCAGGGCAGGCATGAATGAAGGTGAGTGGAAAGGAGAAATGCCTCATGTTTCTGGTTTAAATGTCTGAAAGCACACCGGATGAAAGAACCACTGAAAACCTGATTGAATCTAGGCCACGGGGAAACGGCTTCCACCTTACCTGCAGGAGCCCTTGGTGACTGGTTAAGTGGACATTAGTTTAACATCTACCTAATATTTATTTTTTCTCATTTGTAAGTCATATGTAAACTTTAATAATCTTTGCAAAAACTCATTCAGATTTTTTTTTATGTTTTAGAAACAAGTCTCTTATGCTTTTATTGCAGAAACCATGATACCTTACCATTCAAAAGTTTGGGGTAAGTAAGAAAGAAATTAGGTAACACTTTAGTATAGAGACCAATTCTCACTATTAACTATTTGCTTATTAGCATGCCTATTATTAACATATTGGCTGTTTATTAATACTTATAAAGCACATATTATGCATGACCATATTCTACATCTCTAATCCTACCCAATATCTAAACCTAACAACTACCTTACTAAGTATTAATATAATAAGCAGCAAATTAGGAGTTTGAGGCAAAAGTTGTAGTTAATAGTTTGTTAATAGTGAGAACTGGACCTTAAAGGTGACATAACATGAAAATCTGACTTTTACAGGTTTTAAGTGCTATAATCAGGTCCCCGGTGCATCTACCAACCAAGGAAACGTGAAAAAGATTAACCCAGTAACTTTGTTTTGGGAAGCCTTTTTCTGCAAGCGTCTGAGAAAACCAGC